GCTCAGGCTGGTTTCGAACTCCTGAGCTCAAACAATCCGCCCGCCTCGGCCTCCCAGAGAGCTAGGATTACAGGCGTGAGCCACCGCGCCCGGCCCACACTAACTATTAAAACAGTTTCAAACAGATTCGGTGACATTATAGACTTACCTGCTGCAAACTCCTCAATTGTCATCAGTGGGAACCGGATTAAGGAAAGTGCTTTTCCTAGAACTTTCTGTTTGTTTCCAAAAGTCACAGGCAACTGTTGTCTCTGACATTCTGCTTCTGCCCAGCGTACAACAGCTCCAAAAAGTCGACTTTCTCGAATACTAAGTGTGTCTCTTTCTAGGACTGCACAGAGAGTGTCTATAGGTAAAATACAAAAATAAATCAAATTAGGAATATTTTACAATCTAAGCAAGCAATATTGGCAGACATGCTTATATTAGGTTTTCAAAGCTCAACAAAAAATAGGTTAGATATTTAAAACTACAGACGCTATACTTTAAATATTAATGAATTAAAGGTATTAAACTCCGAAGTGTTCCATAAAAAATTAGTGTAAGGTTAACATTCAATTTATTACTATACATGCAAGATTAGATATAGTTATCTACCTATATATTGATGTCATTTATCAGGCAAACTCAAATATCCAGAATAAGATTAATAATAAGCCACATAAAAAGGTTCCAAGTTACATAAATTCATAAAGTCTACAGATTACAATTCATTCATTCATTCAGTAAATGTTTATTATTAAGCACTGACTATGCACCGGGTACTATTCTAGGCACTGATATATCATTGAACAAAAAGTTAAAAATCTTTCCCCTTTTGGAGCTTGCATTCTAATGGGGAGAAACAGATTAAATAAACATAATTATAATATGTTAGATGATACATGCAAGTAAAAATAACAGGGTGAGGAAAATCAGAAGTGAAATTTAAAATAGGATGGTTTGGGCAGGCCTCATTTGTGCCAAGACTTGAAGGAGGTATGGGAGTCAGCCGAATAGATACCCAGAGGAGGAGTATCCAGGACTATCGGTGCAAAGGCTCTCGTGTGAAAATGTGCCTGGCATATCTGAGGAACAGGCAGGAGAGCAGTGTGGCGGGCACAGTGAGGAGAGAAGAGTAGTAGGCAGTGAAGCCAGAAGCATGGGGAAGAGAAGGCAATCGTGTAGCGCCCTCATGTGGCTTTTACTCTGAGTGATGTGGGGAATGCCTGGAGGGTTCTGAGCCGTGACATTTTGTGTTCTGAAAGGACCGTCCTGGTCACTGTGTTGAGAAGAGACTGTAGAGGGGCAAGAGTGGAAGCAAGATCAGTGAGGAGGCTCTTGCATCGACCCAGGTCAGAGACGATGGTGGCCTGCACCAGGAGCGTAGCAGTCGAGTGCTGCAAAACGACCCGATTCAGGATGTATTCTGAAGGGAGACTCAATGAGATTTCCTAACACGGGACATGGGGTGTGAAAGACAGAGAGGAATCAAGGATTACAGTCTAAGCCCTGGGGGATAAGGGTGGCATCAACTGAGATGGGAAAGACTACAGAGGAGCAGGTCTGGGGTGGGGAAAGATGGGAAGTTTAATTTTAGATGTATTAATTTGAAATCCCTATTTAACACCCAAGTATAAATGTCATGCCTCTACCTCAGGTCCTTACTCAGAATCCTTTTTCTCTTATTGTAGGCAAAATTAAAATAAACTCAGTTACTTTAAGTTATAGCAGCCTAGAAGCAGTAAGTTCAGAAGAGATAAGGGCTTTAGAGGCCAACACTTATTTTGTGAATGATGTTTTGAAATAGTTGTACGCACACACACACATGCACTATATAATATATGATGTATAATACAGACTATACAACATGTATATTTAAATTAAATACATTTATACAAATATTTTTTAAAAATACAATATCCACTAATTTATATAACCCTTTAACTAATGCCAAGCATCTTGAGAAATTTATTATAAAAACCGACAAGCCATTTAATATTAAATGTACGTTATTTTATTGGAAGGTTCAAAGCAATTGTCCATTTATCAAGAAAATTATCCCAGATCTTTAGTTAAGAATAATTTTCCTTTTCTCGTGTAGAAATTACTCATAATATAAATATATATTAAATATACACATATCTTTTACAAATTTTTTTAATTTTTTCAATGTATTATTCTAGACTATTCAACTTAAGTAGGCAGTAAAATCTAAAGAATAGTGTCTGTATTTTATGCATGAATCCCTTTTAGTTCCCAAAGTACTAGAGATATAGCAAGTATTAAAGAAAAATAAACAAAAAAAGTCTCATAGAAAGAGATTTTTAAAAAAAAAAATAACACTTCAGAGGCCTGAGTGCTTCACTGTACAGTAACTGATACTCATAATAACAAACATTAAAAATCACAAGAATCCTAAATTATATTCAGTACACATTGCTTAACAAAGACAGGCAAAGTAAAACACATTTTAGATATCTTTCTCAAATGGCCAAAATAAATGCATGGTTCTTAAAAAGGACTGCTCTAGATATACGAGAAAATACAGAGAACCTTATTCTAAAGAACCTGGATAAAATAGGCACTACTATAGTTATACTTGAAATTAAATTTAAATAAAAATATGATACTTATATATGGCAGAAATCAATTAAAACATTAAATATAACTAAATTTCCCAGAAATACATATCAAAGAAAAAATTATTTTAAAAAACACTTTTCTGCAATGGTCTACATATTCACGCTAAGAGCCAAATACTTGCTTAATATCAAATATAGCTAAAATTCTAGCAGAGATATCACAGTCCCAGGAATACAGTAGGGGCTCAACAATATGGTAAAAATGAACTGATTAAACATATTTTTAAAATCAAACTTTTGGGCCGGGCGCGGTGGCTCATGCCAGCACTCTGGGAGGCAAAGGTGGGAGAATCACTTGAGCTCAGGAGTTCAAGACCAGCCTGAGTGAAAGTAGAAAAATTAACCAGGTGTGGTGGCGCATGCCTGTAGTCCCAGCTATTTGGGAGGCTGAGGCAGGAGGATGGCTTGAGCCCAGGAATTTGAGGTTGCAGTAAGCTATGATGCCACTGCACTCTACCTGGGGTGACAGAGTGACACTCCATCTCCAAAAAAAAAAGTCAAACTTTTGTTCCTTCTATTGAGCAGGTAAGTATAAACTAAGGCTCCACGAAGCTCTTTCACAGGTAAATTAAGTATAATTTACCTCAATACTGGTTAGATTAAGAATATACAGAGACTATAACATTTAGTCATTTAATGGAAAAACAGAAGACTGGACCCACAAGTCTCTACTCTGTATGCTAGTAACTTCAGTAAAGATAAAGTGTGACTGAAAAAAATCAAAAAGCACATCATACTGCCCTTGGCATAATGTAAATTCATTTTGTTCTGTCAATGTGATTTTTCTTCCTGTAAAAAGCGTATCCACCTTGTGCAAGGCCCCTACTTCAAGATTCCCATGCATAATGTAAGAGCTGTTTATCAAATGCCTTCCAGGTGTGAGTCGCCCAGATGCAAGCAGTGTTATTTCAAATAAGAGTACACTGAAGAGCACTTGACAGCCCCTAACAGGAAGAAAAACAGGATTAAGCAATGTTTCATTAACAACTTGTGCTTGGGGCTCTCAAACATCCAATAACTCGACGCGACCTCCAGGTGCTGAGGAGGAGCCTGGTCTAGCCCCTGTCCTTCAGCACAATACAAGCAGTGTACAGTCCCTCCCAAGGGACCATGTAATAGGTAAACTAACAACGGGATGTTATTATAACATGGGAATATACTAAGTGCCATAGAAGAGGGTGGGACATCAATTCTCAAGAAATGAGTCACTACAGAGGTATAATTTGAGCCGAGACGTTAAGATGGTGAGAACTAGCCAAGGCGGGAAGGAAAAGCATCATTCTAGTCCAGTCAGTCAATAAATATTAGCTGAACATGGACTATGTTCCGCTGTCTTCAGTGACACACAGTGGTAAACAAGACAAAGTCCTGCCTTCGAGGAGTTTACAATCATAGACAATCAAAGGGAAGGGATCATAGACAATCAATATATATATACAGAGACAGATACCTAGATAATACTTTCAGATAGCAATATGTACTATGAGGAAAGTAAATCACAGTAATGGGACAGGAACTCTTTAGGGGAATGTGGTATCTATTTTAAGTAAGTAGGTCTGAGACAGACTGTGTCAGGTCTCATTTAACCCGAGATCTAAATGATTAAAAGGTAGTCGTACAAAGATTCAGGGGGAAAAGGATTCCAATGGAAAGGAACAGCAAATACAAAGTCCTGAAATATAAATAATCCTGGCCAGTGTACATGGAATGTGAATGAGGGGGAGAGTGGTAGGAGCCAAAGTCAGATTAGGTAGACGTAGGTAGTGACTGCCAGCTGTTTACCAAAAACCTGTTTTCTCTTCTTCCTGTGATGTGACTAGTCTATAACTCCTAACTTCCCCTGAAGTTAGGTGGGATCTTGTGACTGAATTCTGGACAACAAAATAGCCAAAATGAAGGTGCTATTGTATTTCAGGGCCAAGGCTTTTAATGTGTGAGTGTTTTCCCTGCCCATACTTTCTCCCATCTGCAAGACACAGATAATAACTAGGCCCTAGGGAATGGCCGATCCATAAGAGAAAGCTACCCACTGACTGCGAAACACCTTTGAACTGTTATGTGAGTGTGAAATAAACTTCTGTGTTTGAGCCAGTTAAGCACTTTTGGGTCATTTATTACCACAGCCTAGCTTAGCCTATCCTGACAAATACAAAGCTTGATCATGTGGGGCCTTGTAAGCTTTGTAAGGAGTTTGAATTTTATTCTACCTGCAGTGGGAAAACACTGGAAGCAAGGAAGTGATACAACCTGATTTTTTATTTATAAAGAGCATTCTGGCTACTGTATAGCACTGTACGGTATGGGAGCAAGAGTGGACAGAAAGAGACTGCTGGAGACCACTGCAGTTATCCAGATGAGAGAACGGTGGCTTAGACTAGGTGGTAGCCATGGATATGGTAAGAAACTGTCAGATTCAGGATACACTTTGACAGTAGAGCCGTGAGTACCTGCTAGTAAGATTGTACGTGGGCAGTGAGAGAAAGAATAATCAAGAATAACTTCTGGGATTTTAGCTTGAGCAATCAGGCTCATGGTGGTGCCATTAAGGAAGACTGATAAAGTTGGAAAGGAACAGAAGAGATCTAACAGAGAGTGGGAGGAATCAATGCTTCTCTTTTTGCTGTTTTATTTGAAATGCCTATGAAATCTCCAAATGAAGATGTCAAGTAGACAGCTGGGTTATGAGTCTGGATCCCAGAAGGCAAGGACTGAAGATACGTATTTTGGGTTCATCATCATAAAGATAATATTTAAAGCCATGGGCCGGATTTGCTTTCTCTATTCTCCTACAAGACAAAATTCAACTCCTCAGCCTGTCATTAGATGGTCCTCTATTACTCTGCTTTAACCCACCTTGCACCTCCCTCCACCTACACCTTTTCACGTGGTTCCGCCTGCCTCTAATGTCCTACCCTCTCCACTATCCAATTACAGTGAGTCCTCACTTAACTCTTCAATAGGTTCTCCGTGACTGTGACTTTAAGCAATACATATAACAAAACCAATTTTAGCATAGGCTAATTGATATAAACAAGAGTTAAGTTCCTACGGTATATTTCTAATAACAAAAACATCACCAAACTTCTAATATTAAACACTGAATAAATGTGACCTACACATACATTTAAGAACAATTAATAAAAACAAGTAAGATGATTATTTACCCAATTTTTGGTGAATCAGTGAGTGATGGTGGTTACAGTCATGGTGGGTTAAATCCAAGAATAACTGTTTGCAAAGCAAAAATTATAAGAGGCACCTCCTACCACCATGCAGTTCAAAATACTCACACATATGGCGGGCTTGCTGAGCACTTTCAGATCATCATGCATTTTGTATGACTATTGTATACTTTATGAATTTTTATTTCATAATAATCTGTATTCATTCATTCAATTTCCAACCCATTTATTCCAGTTCAGGGTTGTGAGTGGCCAGAGCCTATCCCGACAGCTGAGGGTACAAAGCAGGAACCAACCCTGGACAGGGCACCATTCCATCGAAGAGGCACTGACGTGCACCCCCACACTCAGACTGGGACCATGCAGACATGCCGGTTTACTGATATGCATAGCCGTGGGATGTGGGAGGAAACTGGAGTGCCTGGATAAAACCCACACAGACATGGGGAGAACATGCAAGCTCCACACAATGTGGCCCCAGCTGGGAACCAATTTTCTTCCTCATCAACATTAAAACAAAATGATGTTATTCAAGGACTTGCTGTCCTACCCATTCGTTAAGGTCCATATCAGAACCTCCTCTGTCAAAATTTTCCTAACACTACTCTAATTTTAGGTAATCTCTCCATTTTCTGGATTTGCATAATCATCATTTTCTACATATCTAATCTAGAAAAGACAAAAATCACATTTGCCATAGGCCCTCTCATCTATTAATGTTAGTGCCTTAAATCTTAATTTTCACATATTTGTTCCTTGATTCTCCAGTTAGGTGTTTCCTTAACAAGACAAATCGCATCTTACCCTTCTTTATATTTCCTCGGGACCCTAGTATAATGCCATGCGTATGGTGAGTATTCATTTGACTTGACATCTTTTAAAAGGCAATGAAGTAGTTAAGACTTAGGAATATTTTCACCAAAATGAAAGAAAGCAAAACTCTTAAAGAGACAGACTTCAATCATTTGGGAAAATCATTTACTTAAATTTAATTTAACAGCTCATTCTCCAACGAGGCTGACAAATAAGGCATTAACTATTTAAACCGTAACAATTTACTTCGTAGTGAACTTACCTATATCAATATCAGTGAACCCTTCTGCACTTATTGCATCCATTGTGCTTTTGTCTATTGTGTCTAGACAAAGACTAGCAAGCTGAGGTTCATCAAATAATCGAGCCTAAACATATAAAGAAATAGTCATTTTACTATCACAGTTATTTTACCTTCAGGCTGTACATATTCAGCTCTGTTTACATTTAATAGCACAAACACTAAATGCACAGAAGTATTCATGTTGGGTTGTGCAGAAATCTGAGAATACTGCCAGTTAATTAACCACACCATAAATGACACCCATTATTTGACATGACTGATGACTTCATTTAATTTTAAAGTAAAATTCATTTGAAAGGATTCAATAACTCAGATACTACTGAATAAATAAACATTTCTAAACTAAACAGTTATGTTTTATGGGGGAGAGAAAACAGGGTTAAACGCATTGGCTTTAATTTTTTTAATTTAAACATATTTAATTTATATTTTAAATTTTTAAAATTTTATTTATTTTTAGAGACAAGGTCTCACTCTGTTGCCCAGGCTAGAGTGTAGTGGCGCGATCATAGCTTACCGTAACCTCGAACTCCTGGGCTCCAGTGATCCTCCTGACTCAGCCTCCCGAGTAGTTGGAAGTACAGGTGCACGCCCCCACGCCTGGCTAATTTTTTAAATTTTTTTTTTTAGAGATGGGGTCTTGCTATGTTGCCCAGGCTGGTCCTGAACTCCTGAACTTAAGTACTCTTCCTGCCTCAGCCTACCAAGTAGCTGAGACTACAGGATAGTAGAATATTTTTAAAAACTTACAGAATACTCAAATATATTTGAAAATGCACTTCTTAGATTACATACTGAGCCTGTTTATATTAATTTGCTTTGTCAAATTTTACATAAATTTTAGCACTAAATAATAAAAAAGTTGTGTTAATTCCTTTTTATGCAATTTTCCCTTAAAATTTTTTTTTATTTGGAATTTCAAATTTATAGAAAAGTTGCAAGGATGGTGCAAAGAGCACCCATACACCCTTCACCAAGATTTACCTGTCTAAATGTTATTTATCTATTTATCTTTTTTATCATTTCCTCTTTCTCTCTCTGTGTATACACACATATATACACACATATGTATGTGTGCATATGTATCTCCTTGGAGTGGGGGGCAAACCATTGAAGAGTAAGTTGTGTACATCACGGCCGTTTGCCCTTAAATTTCCTAAGAATGAAGATATTCTCTTACACAGTCATAGTAATTAACTTTGATAAATTTAACATTAACAATATTAAATTTATTAATTTAACAATATTTTTATCTAATCTACTGACTATATCTCAGTTTTGTCATTTAATAAATGCCCATAATGTTTTTTGTAACATTTTTCCTTCCAGTACAGGATCCAATCTAGGATCACAGTTCATGCATTTTTACAGTATAAAACATAGTAATATTTTTATAAAGTAAAATGCTAATATTAGCAGATAATTGGCCAACTCAACTATATTTTTAGTTAGTTTTTATGTAAAAATTGATCTTTCACTCTAGGAAAAAAAATTTTTTGTAAAAATTATTTTATTCAGGGTAGCAACTGTCAGTCACTCCTTAGATTACTAAACACATGTAATATCGAGTTTCCTATGGAATCTATTGCTGCTACTTAGAGTAAAATAAATTTTCTCACAATTGACTTTGACTCTGGCATTATCTCCGATAACCCTCCTCTCTATAAATCACGGCAGGACGGTATACTGGCACTTTGTTTTAGAGTGAAGCTGGCATAGGCCCCCTCAAGTAACTCAACATGCTCAGTTCAAATGACTCACTTGGCAGGAACAAGAAGTTCACATGACAATTTGTGGACTGATTCACATGACCCCACCAGTAAAAATTTTGATGTGATATTGGGTTCTCAGACCAAAAAGACACTGAAAAATTCCTTTTTTCTCACAGTGATACCTGTTAACCCTTGCTGCTAACAATGTGGTCCAAAACACTGGTGTCATCAGAGAGCCTGTTAGAAATGCAGGCTTTCAGGCCCCAGCAGAACCAGAATCTGCATTTTAATTGCCAAAGTTTAGTTTATTGGTTTCTGAATTTTATAACTGAATTTTAAAATAAAAGTAGTTAAGTGATCCTCTCTTACACACATTAAAACCCCTTGGACAGTAAAGAATCTTATGAATATCAATGTATTTACTAGATTTTTATAACAAGTTCAAAAGAGAAAAAAAATGCAGGAAGATATTGCTTATTAGTTGCATGACTTTGGTCAAGTTATTCCACCTCTCTGTGCCTCGATTTCTTTACTTATAAAATGGTGACAGTAAGAAAGTTACTTTGAACACCTATACCTCATAAAGTTACTGTAAGTATTAAATGAATTAATGTACACAAAGTACTGAGGAAGGTACCTGGCACACAATTATCACTCAGTATATTTTGCTACTATATTCATCAATATCACCACACCTTAAGGACTGTTGGTTTAAGGTTGAGACTTAGTTTTACCACTGTTGTATAATGTTCAACAAGGTATTTGCTTCTGTAAGCTTCCAGTTTTCATCTTTAAAATGGAGGTAATAGTTAACTACATCACAACGAGGAGCAAATGGGTGACATATGTGAAGGGGTTAGCGTGGTATCTGGCATACATGGAGTTCTGTCACTGTGTCCAAGAACAAGTGACAGCAGAACGTTCTTTGTTCTGTTAACTACAAATACTTAATGACGCAGATTTTCTTTTTAAAGGTACCAAATATTTTCTACATGATAGATGAACACTGAACTAGAAAACATGAGCTCTGGGCCCTGGCCCCACCTCATCTAGTGTGAGTTAATTAGCCCAGGTTTTAGTTTACCCATTTGTAAAACGAGAAGGTTATACTAGGGGTCATCAGCAATTATTTCCAGTACTAACATCAAATAGGATTATATTTTATGACTTAGAATTTTTAAAACAATTTGTTCAAGAGTATTACAACATTGTCTAAAAAGAAAACATTTATTTAAATGCAAAGTATGAAGCTCAGATTACAGGCATTTAACAAACGCTAAACAGTATACGGTATGGACTGGTTAACAGTTCTATAGGAATGTGCAGTTTGCCAAAATTCATTAGATTGTACACTTATATGTGTAATTTTTTGTATGGATATGTAATACATCAATTATAATTAGTGAAAATTTTTTTAAATGTCAAAGAAAGCATATTTCATATTAATCTAAAATTCTAACTCCTCCAGGAGTGGATAAGTGATCTCCAGATACAGGTCCGAAGATAGTGAATCTTAAGACTTTTCTGGACTTAAACTATTTGGTCTTTATTCTAGATCCAGAAAAACTGACAATGAAGATATCCCAGAAAATCTCATGCTTTCATACTGTCAATCACAGCCGAACAACACTGGATCTTAATCCCAGCTCCAATCCCAAGTAGCTATCCAGCCTTGAGTCACAACACCCCACTTACATAAGGCTTCAGCTTCTTCACCTATGTGATCCAGCAATATATTAACTCTAGTATGCTTATCAATTCTAGAATTTCGTGAAACTGATGTATTTCTCTGAATGGTATAAAATAATCATATATACTTTAAAATTATGGTTAGAATTCTCCAGGAAATATTAAACATTCATATACAGTTATGCTTATACTTTAATTTTTAAGCTACGATGATTTCTACCTTAGCTACATCTACTTACCTGAGTAAGTAACATAAAGGCATTATCCGCCCTAAGATGTTTGGTGAGAAATTCCACACAATGTGCTTCCAAGGCTGGGACTGCATATTTCTTGGCAGTATAAAGAGTGGTCATAACTGTTTCTGGGCCAATTTGAACTTCATCTGAATACAGAAATCTGGAAAGCAATTGGGAAATTTGCGGAGATGATGTTTTAGATAAGCAATCCAGCAGAGTTAAACCTGTGAGGAATATTTTAAAACTTAATAAGCAGACAGAAAACCAATCTGAAATTTGTCCCAGACTTTGCAGTCTACAGGGCATTTGCGCACACATCACTGCATTTCATTTTCAATCCTCACAATTTTACAGAGGAGACTAAGGGTAAGTGAAGACCATGAGACAAACCCATGTCTCTAAGCCAACTCTTAACTCTTCAGAGTTCTTGTTAGCACCCCACAGCTGCTTAGGATAGTGGCTCATTCATCTCTGCCTCATCTAAAGACGTTCACTTAAGTATAAATCTACAGGTAGCTAAGGTCACATCTCTACATCTCAAAATATTCATTATTTCCTAATAATAGTGCCTTCTTATTCTAGGCATCTTTTAACCTTTCATTGTTATCTCATAATTAGCATAACGACCATGATTAGAGTGCTGGGGCTTTGGAGGAATAAAGCAACTTAACAATATATTAAATGACCCCATGTTGCTATGTGCTTTGGGGTACTTAGGTCCAATTTTCTCTCAAAATACTATCTATCAGCCCAATACTCCCTTCCTCCTAGTTCACTGCTTCTAACTGCCAGGTCACTAGGAAATCAGCTTCATGGGACGGAGATAAAGCCTAACATTCTCAGTGAAGGCCTGGGCAGTTATTAAACTACACTTGAGCTTTTGCGTCATCAACTTTCGGCCCGGCCCGTTTCATGGCTCCTCAGAGACACTTGCGCTCACTGCCCAGCTCTCAGCTGCACTTACGACAGCTGAGGATACTGAAGTATGGCATTAAGGACAATTACTTCATTTAGCAACACTTAAGGGCATTAGAATATTTATTGTATTTCCAGGATCCAAATTGTAAAATAAAGGTTTAAGAAAATCCACTATCTTCTTTCGGAATACTCTACTACACTGGAGTGAGGAAAGCTAAATTCTCTTCCATGGCCCTACTCTCTACCCTTTCACCTTCCTCCTCTTTTATTCCTGTGGCCATAATCACCACCACGATGAAACCCAGCCAGGCACACCCCCACCTTCCCACCCTACCCAAACCCTCGCATTCCTCTGGTAATATTATCCTGACAACTACCTCAAGTGGAGGTACGCTCCCCTGTATCTCAAGTTCAAAAGCTGCTGTTTTTCAGGATTATACTGTTTTTACTAATTTTTTCCCCCAAAACTCCTTTTAGATACCCAAATCAACCCTCACAATGCTCACTTAACATTACGTGCCATACTTTGTGATGAGTACAGGGAATTAAAAACTAAGGCACAGTCCTTCACAGCCAGGGGGAGGGAAACGAATAAAAAGAAGAGAAAGTTAACATTTGTTGAGTGTCCACTGTATGACAAATGCCAATTCATTTAATCCTCCCATAAAGGAAAGTAGGCGCTATTACCTGCAATTTAATGATTTAAAAACCGAGGCTGAGGCCGGGCGTGGTGGCTCACGCCTGTAATCCTAGCTCTCTGGGAGGCCGAGGCGGGCGGATTGTTTGAGCTCAGGGGTTCGAAACCAGCCTGAGCAAGAGCGAGACCCCGTCTCTACTAAAAATAGAAAGAAATTAATCGGACAACTAAAAATAGATAGAAAAAATTAGCCGGGCATGGTGGCGCATGCCTGTAGTCCCAGCTACTCGGGAGGCTGAGGCAGAAGGATCGCTTGAGCCCAGGAGTTTGAGGTTGCTGTGAGCTAGGCTGACGCCACGGCACTCTAGCCTAGGCAACAGAGTGAGACTCTGCCTCAAAAAAAAAAACAAACAAAAAAAAACCGAGGCAACATGAGAGCTGTTTACCATAACACACCATTTCTAAGCTGCCAGTGCCATACAGTAAGGTCAACCAGGAGAAGAAAGAGACCGCTTTGCTTTGAGCCTGTTCTAACTGCTTGCTAGCTATGTAACCGGAAGCGGGTCGTGTGCCTCTCTAAAGAGATGAGAATAACAGTACTTCATACTGTTGTCATGAGGATTAACGTAAGTTAAAACACAAAGCATTCTGAATAGTGCCTAACAAAAAAATGTGCCTCGGTAAACATTGGCTATTTATTTGTACATGTCTCATTTTTACTGCTGTTTTCCTCTGCGTTTTGCAAGATTTCCTTGCTGTTATCTTCTGGTGCTCTCCTATTTTTCACCCCAGCAATCACGTGTTTTAATTTCTAAGAATTTTTGCTTCTTTCTTGATGGTTCCTTTTTTCTCCATAGTATGTCTTAGTTTTATGGATGCAAAAGTTTTAGTTTTATGGATGGATCTCAAGTCTCCAAGATGATATTAACCAAAATTTCAAAAGTTCCCTTCTGTTCCCTGAATTACCTGTTTCCTTGAGAATCAGCTATTCTGTTTATCTTGGTCTTTCTCATTCATGTTCTGATTTTCCTTATATGTCAAATGATTAATGACTATTTCCAAGTTCAGTACTCTAGTAGTTGGTCTGTTTTCAAGATAAAACTATCTCCAAAATGGAAAGGTTGGCTGGGAGCTCTGTGCGCGTGGAAGGCTTGTTGACCGGCACTTTGTATTACGCTGGGAGCCGGCCTGCGGTCAGGGACGCCTCGATGCCATTGTGAGGAGGGTGTAGTCATGAGGTCCCAAAGACACGCCAGCAGTCCTAGTTCTTCCTAGGCAGTCTGTTCAATTTATTTAGAGGAGCTTGTCATTTGCCACAGGGAGTTAGTCTGCAAGAGCTGGTTGAGGAGATGGTCTACACACAGGCTTTAAATTAATTTCCAAGTTGTAGCACTACCTTCTCATTTCCATCCTCCTCACTTCCAACTCTTAGCCTAGAACCTTGCTGGCTTCTGCCAAGAAAGGCAGCCCCCACCTCCCCTGCAGCTTTGAAAGCTCTGGATTCTAGGCTCCAGATTCATCCACTCCAGCTCATCCATTAACCAGCTTCCAACTGCTCCCCACACTGTTGGTCCTTCCAACCCGTCTTTTTCTCCTCACAGTAACGGACTTGTTTTTTGTGTTTCTTAATATCGTTTTAACTGAGAGTGAAAGAGAGAGAGAGAGAGAGAGAGAGAGAGAGAAAGAGAGAGAGAGAAGGCGAACAGCATGCTCAATTCCCTTCTCAAACTAGAAACTTATGAAATTTTTAAGGACAAGGTAGAAGTCTTTATGCCTGCCTTAATTTTCTGCAGGCAAAAATTACTGGAGTTGTGAAACACAAAGCAGAAATGTGGGGCCTTTATCACATTTACCTTTGTGTCTGAGTAGTTTCAAACTTAAAAAGCGCCACAAAGTTGAAGTACATGCTTTTACGAGAATCTGTAATTGGGGGCTCTGACTTAGGGAGATCTGGAAAAGCTTCTTAGAGGAATTTCTGCTTGAGATAAGATCTAAAAGACGAAAAGAGGGTGGGAAGAACATGCTAGCAACAAGAGAGAATTGTTTTTAGACTATTTTGTATGAGATCCCTGTTATGGTATAGAGTGTGAAAAGTGATTATTGGGAGATTGAATTGAGTTAAATTGTGAGTTTTTATTAGTTGGTCAGTGACTATTTTTTGTATTGTTGAGAGGCAGGAGTATAGAGAGTAGTTTAGAGCTGAAAAGGTGAGAAGACTTGATATTAATTTGGAGGGGGCTATGTGACATTAAATATGATATAGTGTAACAAAAATAATTATACTATATATTTTATAGTTATGGGGTCTGAGACTTGTTTTAGATTGTCTGGCCTTGTGACTGATTATAATCTTTGAGTAAGCAAGGTTATAGAAGTAGATAGTATCAGTTAAGACAGGGAGCATTTTTTTTGGGGTGAGGCAAGTACAGTAAATTTTTACTATAGATACTTG